TTTAATTTTTTTAGAATATTTAGAAATTAAATCTCAATTTAAAATTCATCAAATGTATTTAGTAATGTATTTATAAACTAGTGAAATTACCAATTAAATATTTAGTTCAATCTAAAATATTATTAACTTAACTTATTAACACGTGTTATAAATTTTGTATTATTTTACAGTATTAGGTAATGTTTTATATGTTTTAATTTTAACAAAAAATAAATTAGTTTATAACATGAAATAATATATTTATCACGTAACTAAGTTTTAATGTTTCAAATTCAAAATCTGAAATGAAAATACTAAAAACGGAAAATTTCCACTATTTAGATCACAGAATCTAAAAATAGCTTTCAAAAACAAATCTATAGGCTAACAGACAAAATTTAGAGTAATATCACTAATCTTTGTACATTTACTTTTGTCATAGATGTATTTCTTCTATGGTAACAAACTAAACTTGATATACCCGACTAATGGAATTACAAAAAGGCTCTCCAATCGGTTAACAATACAGAGGACAAAGAATTACAACACAACTTCGACTACAAAAGCCTTCTAAAATGATAACATCCTCCTACAGTTGATCTCTAGGCTCCCCTCTCTCTGTAGTAACTTTTTTGATGTGTTATTTCTACACTATTGAACCCTTTATTATGGTATAGTTGTAGCTAACCCTGATTAACTTCGAGGGGCAAAAAAATTAAGCTACCATTACTAAGTGGTAAGGGACTTTTACGAGAAAATACTTTCATCGCTGCGTGCTGGGAGGCCTTTAAGAACATCCCTTAAAGCATAGTAGTGGCTATCACATCTATGATCCGAAATGAGGTTGCTTGAAAGCACTATTCGTTGGAAATGTTCGCCGGGATGGCGCTTCCACAGAGTGAAGTATTCTGGGGTGCCATTGGTATTCCTCTTCAGATAATAAACTGTCCCAGGTACGAACAGCTCCTCGGGAGTTTTGTATCGTGCGGTTGCAGCTTTGTTTCGAGCAGCAGCAGTAGGGTGTGGAGGAGCAGAAGCCACATGAGACTCTTTTCTAATGCTACCATCTGTTCAAAAGGGAATAAAAAAGGATTTTTAAAAATCTTGATTATGCATTAAAATTTCTGTCCTTCGAGCGGTTATGTTGTTAAATTATTGTTTTATTAACACATTTAGATGCATTATACATAGATATACCATTTGGATGCCACTTGACATATGAACCTAACTTGACCATCAACAAAATCTAAACCGTCCATCAAAATCAATTTTTTCCAACTAATATTGTAAAAGCAATACTCAAATATTTGGTTTATTATTTTTATAACCAGGAGACGAGTTTTGCTCTCCTATGCCTAGGGCATCTGCACCCACCTCAAGGCCCGGACCCGGAGACATCAAAGATTTGATTTTTTGTTTGAAGCTCACTCAAAAAATTCGAACTTGAGACTTTTAAGCCGGTATAACCAAGAGACCCCAAATCTTTACCAACGGAGCCACCTCTTAGAGGCCAAATATTTGGTTTATTTGGAATGGAGATGAAACTAAAGACAAACTTAGAAATTAAATTAGCTTACCAGAGGATATTTTCTTGCTTGTGAACTTTGCATAATCCGCAAGTTTTCGAGCAACATCTTGTACCGATGAAACCACTTGCCTTGCGTTTGTGACCAAACCAATGAAACTTTTCCAGTCTTGCTTTTCAATAACACTGGTCCTGCATCAGATGGGACATGAAATTAGAGATTACCTTCCTCTCTAGCTTGTCCAATAACAAGAAAAATCAGCATATATGTTAATTCCCTCTCTTTGATTCTTTTCCTTAGTCTTTTCTTTTTCACTCCTCGAAATAGTTCGTGGAATTAGATTTTGATGCTTGATATATGATATGTGAAACATCTTCAAAATATGCTCATCCTCAAAGTGTACCGAGGATAAGTTCAGAAAGCAGTATCACTGAATATATCTCTAAATAGTGCATCCGAAATTGAATTGTAAACTTTAACATCACAAGTTCATACAGCTACACAAGGTTGATATACTCAACATATTTATTTATGGTTCAATTATAAATTTGATTCGCACCTACTTTAATAGGTCTCTAAACTTTTCAAACCGTGTTTATTTAGTTTCAATTCCAATGCTTTAAAAAAATATATAATAGATCCCAAAACTTGCAAATTTGTATCTAATAGTTCCCTCTGAACGTGTCACATCAGTGTTACGCCGACGAAGAAAACAATAGATTTATATTAGACAAAGACCTATTAGAAACTCTTAAAAATACAGGTTAACTAGATACAACCTTAAAGCTCATGGTCCAAACTTGTAATTGTACTTCATATTATCTAAAGTTCAAATTAAGGGAACTACATGGCTGGTTATGACCATTGTGAGGTACTTCAAAGAAAATGTTGGTTGCTCTCCTGACTTGAGATGCAATTTAATGAAAACCAATAAAGTTGCTCTCCTGTCTCATGGAATGTTAGAGGTTTAGGGGCTTCCTCGGAAAAAGCTCTCATTAAAGAATCTCTCTTAAAAGTATGTCCGGATGTAGTAATCCTCCAAGAGACTAAGTTAGCTGCAGTTGATAGATCAATCATTAAGTCAGTTTGGAGATCCAGAAGAACGGGCTGGATCTCCTTAGATGTTGAGGGTGCCGTCGGGGGTATCCTCATCATGTGGATAGAAGACTCGGTAGAGGTACACAACTAATTAATGGGGATTTTCTGTCTCTATTTTTTTTCCTTCAATAACGTGATCACAGGTTGGTTAACGGGTGTCTACGGCCCCTCCACTCCTCACAAAAGGGACCTCTTCTGGCAAGAGTGGCAGATCTATCAGTGGCTATTTCAGAGGTGTGGTGCCTGGGAGGTGCTTCAATGTAGTTCGTAATGTGACAGAGAAGTCGAAAGGGAATCAAGTCACTAAGAGTATGAAGACTTTTAACTATTTAATTGACGAGTTGCAGCTTGCTGACGTTCATATGAATAATGGCATCTTCACCTGGTCTAGCCTCAGAAAGCACTCTTCTCCTCTTCCAGATTAGATCGCTTCCGGTTCTCTCAAGTCTCCGAGGCCGGATGGGATATCAAATAAATTTTTTAAAAGGTCTTGTAATATTCTGAAACTCGACTTACTAGGAGTGTTCCAAGATTTTTTTCAAAATGGTAACATCAACCGGCGAACAAACGAAATATATCTCTACCTCGTTCCAAAGAAACATAGAGCAAATAAGGTCAGTGATTTCCGTCCTATCAGCTTGGTCACCTCTCTTTATAAGATCATTTCGAAACACTCTCCTCCTGATCATTAATGACTCCTAGGCAGCCTTTTTTGAAGGTAGAAATATTTTAGATGTCATTTTAACTGCCTCCGAAGCTGTAGGGTTACAAGGCTAGTAAACGAAAGGGTTACATTCTCAAGCTAGACTATGAAAAGGCTTACATAGTAGATTGGAATTTCCTGTTGAATGTGCTAGAAAAAAAAGGATTTGGCCCTAGACGGTGTCGTTCTGTCGTTTTCAATGCCAAACCTAAAGGGAAAAATCATAGCTCAAAGAGGGATAAGACAAGGTTGCCCGCTTTCGCCTTTTCTCTTCACCCTGGTAGGTGATGCCTGTTAGATATCCAATATATGAATTAAATTTACCCAACCCATCAGCAACCCATCAGCTTAAACTTTTGGGTTGAGTGGTGGTTTATTCATCCTTAACATGGTATCAGAGCAGGAGGTATTGTGTTCGAAGCCCCTGCATTGTTATTTCCTCCCTGTTTATAATGATTTCCACTTATGGGCCTTGTGCAATTATCCAAGCCCACAAGTGAGGGAGAGTGTTAGATATCCAATATATGGATTAAATTTACCCAACTCATCAGCTTATGTTTTTGGATTGAGTGGTGGTTTATTCATCTTTAACGATGTCTTTAGTCGTTTAGTTCACTTCTGCCATGAAAATAATATTCTGAGGGGTTACATTGTTTAATATTCTGAGGGGTTTCATTGTTGGCCCGAAAGAGGTGGCCCTAACTCATCTGCAATATGCAGACGACACAATCATCTTCTCTCATCTTCTCTCAAGATAAGAAAGAATATCTTTTGGCTTGGTGGGAAGTCATCTCCCTTTGTTTGTTTGCTGCTGGAATATCCCTAAATCTGCACAAGACTTCACTCGTTGGGGTAAATGTGGAGGAGTCTGAGGTAATCGAACGCGAACACAGCTTTCTTAGGCTGCAAGCCCGAAACTTTGCCTTTATAATATTTGGGCTTTCCCTTGGGCAGCAAGGCACGGTCGATTGGTTCTTGAGATCCTATGGTGAGAAATTCAAGTGCAAGCTCTCCAAATGGAAGAACTCACTTATCTCCAAAGGGAGGTCGCCTGACTTTGGCACAATTAGTTCTCACTAGCTTGCCCCTATACTTTTTCTCTTTATTAAAGGCCCTGGAGGAGGTTATCAAACGGAGGGAGAAAGCAGTGTGGGATTTTTTCTGTAATGGTGGTGAATATCACTGTTGCAGCCACCTAGTTAAATGGGGATGGACTTCTCTCCCTCTACTGCACGGGGAGCCAGGTAAAGGCTCCTTCAAATAGCGGAACTATGCCCTCTTAATGAAATGGCTGTAGAGATTCATTCATGAAGAAATTGCTCTTTGGCGTTGTATCATAGACAGCATCTATGGCACACAACCTCTCGGCTAGTTCACCAACATTCCTAAAGGAGAGACAAAAGGGCGCCCTTGTTTTGATATTGCTCAAAACACCCTGCTCTTTATGAAGTTCATGTCCTTCAAAGTGAGCATAGCAAAGGCTCTAAAATTAGATTTTGGAAAGATGTGTGGATTGGTGATGAATCTCTAGAGTCTAGCTTCCCAGATATTTTCTCTCTCTCCACCCTCTCCACTAGAGAGGAGGCTTCTATGGAAGAGTGCTGGAATAAGGATCAACAAGACTCAATAAGACTGGGATTTGGGTTTTAGAAGGGGCCTCTTTGATCCGGAGTTCAGTAGCTGGCTGGCACTAATTGAGAAGCTGGATATTGTTCGGTTCGGGGAGTCCAAAGATGGGATCAGATGGAAAATTGATCTTTCGGGGGTCTTCACAACTAAGGCCACCTTTTTGAAGATGATTATGCTTTGTCCAGCAATTCAAGCCCCCATTCTCTCAGCAATCTGGAAATTCAGATTTCCTAAGAAGATAAAAGTCTTCCCTTGGTCCCTAGCACATAGAGGAATCAACACACATGACCGTCTCCAGAAAAGATGGGCTCTCTCCCCCTCAATCTGCTCTTTGTGCTGTATGGAAGCAGAATCTTTGGACCATCTCTTCCTCCATTGTCCCTTCTCTTATGCCGGATGGTCAATGATTCTTTAAGCCTTTCCTGTGGAAACTTGCATTCCGGAGAAAGTAGATGATTGGATCTCCCAATGCTTGCTGGGGGGGCAGTTTCAAAAATGCTAAAAGAACTTTGTGGATCTATATGGTGGTGGCTTTTTTGTGGAACATATGAATTAGATGCCCAAAAACAGCACAAAGTAAAATCAGAGAATTTAAGTTTTAGCCTTCAATAGCCATATCTAATTTCAGCACATTCTTGTTAAAAAAAAAATACTTTCAGGACATTCATAGAAGAGAATTAGTTTTAGCCAAGTAGAGCATAATAATTTACCAATCGGTTTGAAGAATTTCATTCCTTAGCCTTGTTAGAGAAGCTATGCTTAATCTAGGGATAATATCATCCTGCCCAAAGTAAAATCAGAGAATTTAAGTTAAGCAACAGAAGGAAGAAATAAGAACTACCATAATAAAATATAAAATCTTTACTTAAAAACAGTAGCTCTTGCTAGAATACATATAAGGACTGCATGTGGGCAACCTGCATCACTACAGTGGTAACATAGTCAGCACAACTCTCAGCAAGTTTTCTTGAGACACAAGGTGGTGTTGCATATCCAATTGCAGAAACAATATCAGGGCTAAATCCAAGCTCCTTATTTGACTTTTTACGAAGCATTACGGCTAGTAAAGAAGCAATAGCTCCACCAAGAGAATGACCCACCAGCCTTAACCTAAAACCCTGTTAATGAATTAGATACTACCACGACAATAGTAATAGGGCGATAGAGACACGTAAAGAATAAGCTAAAGAAATTTCAGTATACATAAAGACCACCTGATATTTCTCCAAGCATCTTCTTATCATTCCCATCTCATGGTCAAGAAACCAGCGAGCAGATTCAGCAGTGCCAAAGTGCGTCACATATCCTTCGAACGTCACTTCCCCATCACTCGATGTAACAATATCAGTGATGAGATCAGAGAGTGTGTGAGTTCCTCGAATTCCAAAGATTACAAGTTTCTTTCTAGTATCAACGCCTATATAATACCCAGGCCTCATAACACTGGAATCCCCTACAAATTTCAATATGTTGCACTCTCGAAGCATGCTGTTTCTTGCAAGACTAGCTGCAGAATCCTTATAAGAACCTTTAGCTAGTTCAAGGTAGTAGATGAGGTCTTGGACCTGGTTCACAAAATCGTTACTTATAAGAGCTTCAATTGAGTGTTGAAAATTCTTAAAGACAAAATACAAAGGAAAGAAAAACATAATTTCAATATGTCCATATATTTTATAAGAAAAAAGATGTGAACAGATTACAATTGCATCTGAAGAGATCTGGACACCTGAAATGTCCTCAAAAGGATTTGTTGAAGCCTGGCGGAGGTAAATAAGGTATAATCCAATTGTAAGATCACTCAAGCTCCAATCCTGAATTCCCATCTTACTCCACTGGATACTTGCAATGATTTCTGAAACAGAACGACTTCGAGGTGGAGTTTGATCTCGAATTCCATCCCCTGTAAGTTACAAAAAACTTAATCGGCCTCCAAGACTGGAACTTTTAAAAGAACATGAAAAGGCAAAAAGAAAATGTAGACTACACAAACAGAATTAAATCAACAGAAAATTACGAGACGTGGCAGTAAATTGTGTTTCTTATGCAGTAACATAGTAAATCAGTACAATTTGTCTTGAAAGTAATAATCAAATTAAGTAAATAATGACTGCTTGCCATATCATGGTAACCACCATATACTTTAAGCCACAAGTAAGATGAGAAGTACTACTGACATAGACAGACCTGATGCTGACAGTGCCCACCTATACAATTGCAAAGCTGGTTCAAGAGCTTTTGTCAGCCATGCAAGCTCTGACCTTCGTTTACTATCACTAATATTTTCATCATCAGAAAAGTACTTTGTAGGTTCAGAACCTTTTTTGCTATTCTTCTCCATTTCTGACCTCACAGAAACTTCAGGTAAAACTTCACCTTCTTTATGCACTCCTATTTCCACTTTATCTGCTTTTGACCTGTGAAAATGCATAAGAACACTATTTACAGTTACAGAGCTTGCCTGCAACTCTTGTTTCCTGAGAAAACTTCTGGCATGATCTGCAAAGTTGAAGAAAAAACAATCCAACCCCCAATAAGTTACAAAACATCGACATTGTAGTCAAGAAGAAACCTTAAATTGATAGCCGAGAAAGCTACTTTAAAATTTATGATCAAAGATATAAGCGTGGCCAGAATCATTCATCAATGTAAATTATAAGAACTAAAACTCCTGAGTTTCCATACTAGATCATAATTAGAAGAGGAAAAAGTTCATTTCCCCCTCACTAGCTAGTTGAATAGTACTTACATAATCAGAATAATACTCTCTACAAGTTAGGCATACAAACTTTTCCGTGCCAACTTGGACTTCCAGTTCCAGATAGATGATTTCAAAAGCTATACATTTGCAGCAATATCTATCACGGGACAAACACTTTCAGAGAAATCCTAGTTCATTCACATTGAAATCCATAAAAGACACAACTAAATTCACTAGAGATTTTAAATTAAATTAAGTTCTAATTTCATTTACCTCATTTGGGAAGAATTAAAAATAAAGAAACCAATTAACATCGTGAATTGAATTCAGTAAATCTCTAAAAACTGCCTTCCACAAACAAGGTCAACAAATTATATTATTCGCCAACTCAATCCTAACTCACTAAGAGATTTGAACAAAACAAAAGAACAAAAACCAACATTAATAGAGATTACGTAACAGAAAGAATGCACAGTTTATCGTCACATTTTTCATCCGGCTCGAGAGTATCAAGATTCTCCAAGAATTAAATAAAAGAAAGCCGCCAAATACAATTAATAAACATCATAAAACAGCCATTGAACTCGCGCTAGTTCCATAAGCAAGAAACAAATACAAGCTTTCAAATATTGAAGATGCAGTAACAATTCAACAAAGAGGTAAAAGGAAATTTCATTTACGGAAGTTGTGAAGGAGGCGCCTCACTGCTCCACTAGCCATGGCGGCGACGGAGGGATTTTCCTAGGGCTTTGTGGCTGGAGGCGGTGGCCGGCAAGATTTACGCTCTCAACAAGTGGATTGCGGCAGATCTTTGGCGGTTTGAATGGAAGTTCCAGAATGGAGAATGAAGCCGGGATTGTTATTTATTACGGATTTTTGTTTTACAGGAAAATGCGCCAACGGCTGGGTTTAAATTTCTTAGTTTCATTCTTGGAATTAAATATCCTTCTATGAACCATACGATAAATAGACATTTCTATAATACTAAAAAATGGCAGAATATAAAATATGTATATATATATATATATATCTAACAGGGTCTCATTAATATAGATAGAATATCAATATTAATTATTTTTGTAGTACAATGATTGAGAGTGATTGGCATAGTTCAACAGTAATTGATATATACCTCCAACCATGAGGTTGTGAGTTCGATCGGATCCTCACCCCTCACATATGGTCTCGTGACTTTTTCATCGACATCGACATTTAAAATCTCTGTTTCATCATGGTATTAAATATCTATCGACATTTCCATAATATTAATATTAATTGTTTTATCTTATTTAGAAATGATAAAATGCCTATTCGTTAATTTAAATAGTTTTTATAACTTTTCTAAAAATATCTATCGACATCGACATTTAAAACATTAGCTTCATTTAACAATAGAAGTATTTTGTTATCTACCAATGAATTTTTTTTATTTATTGGAATGAGAAATCGAACATCCGACCTCTAGAAAGAAACAAATGTTTAATTGATGAGTTAAGTTCATGTTTGCCATCTACCAACAATTGAAGTTTATTGTTCACCAATAAATAAATAATTGTCAATTTTTTAATGTCAGTACCTAAGTATCATTGTTCATTCAATTGAAATTTCTTTTAAAATAAATATATTAGAAGTATCATTTTTGGACAAAATACACATTTGGTTCTTGAAGTTTGAATTTCATGTCTACTCGAATTTCATGTCTATTTGATGGAAGTTCCAAATGGAATATGTTAGTGTTTGAGGTTTGAACTTTGAGGTAGCATCTTCATTCCTACTTTCCCTCCTCCTTCCTTCTCGTCATCTAACAAACCATTTCGCATGCTATTGCAACCTCCCTCTTCCCGCAACTTCTTTCCAAACATTTGGATGAAGCTTTGTTCCAAATTTGGAACGATGTCGAATGACAGTTCGTTCCAATTAATTCAGTTATCACTATTCACTAGTGAGCAACAGATGATAGTGACTCTCTGTAGTAGTAAGGTCTATTAGGGAGAGGAGGAAGAAGAAGGGAGAAATGATAGAGAGGAAGGAGATGGCCATTTTAGCATTTCAATCCGTTAAAGTTCATATAAAACTAATATAATTTTGTCACATAATTTGAAATTGTCACATCATCAAAATCCAACAAGTATTATGTTAAGTCAATCAATGGTCAAATGAGTTGAGAGACCATTTAGAACTATTTTCATATTTCAATGACTAAAATGTCCCTTTTAAAAACTCAGAGATCACATAGACATAGAGGCTCAAATATTAGAAATCAAAAGTTTATGTCGAAATTCAATTATTTAATTCTTAAACTTTTAAAAAATTATTAAACGTTTTAATCAAGTAGTACGAGGGCAAGCAACAAAAATTTTGATAGCTTGATAGTTAAATTTATGAGTGGCTTTTTAGTTATTGGTTAGGTCAGAGTAGTTTTCTAATTTAAATCCTATTTTTTCCATGAAATTTCATGTTTATTTTATTTATATTTGGGACTTTCAAAATATCTATTTTAGTTTAAAATAATTTTGATCCATAATCTTAAAAAATAATCATTTTGTTCACTTTTATTATTTTATCGCATGGTATCCATTGAGTTAGAAGTCTTTCAAGCAAAGAAGTTGGGTGGAGAGAAGTCGAGAGATGAAGTATTTTGGGTCTATTTCGTTGGAAACTCGGATTCTATTTTTTTGCAGGATTTAGGAGATTCGTTTTTTAAAACTGTTTTCAGATTATGTGATCCAAACAGTAGAAATTCTGAAAACGATTTTTTTATGCTTTCACTATTTTCAGATTCAAAATTTGAAATTTTGAAAATACAAAATTACATTAAAAATGATAAAAACTTTAATAAATATATTAGTTTATATTATAAACTTATTTTATGTTTGTTAAAATTAAAGTAAGTAAAATATAATGTATTCTAAATTATATAACCTATTAAACTAAATATTTGGTTGGTAACTATTTCTAGTTTACAAATATATTACTAAACTAAATTGACATTCAATTACAAAATCTGCTACCAAAACTGAAAACAAAAAATATAACTATTTGTTTTCTCATCTACTTTTCAACTCCCAAAATTACTATTCAAACTATCCATTTTATTTTATTCCATCTCTCTTCTCTCTTAAAGTCAGTTCCACGTAAAATCATATGTATTTTTTCTCATCTCAATGTGGCCTCACATCTTCTCAAATTTGGTAGGTCCTACTATTTTTCTCTCTCTCTTTGTTTTTTAAATTTTAGTGAGTCTACTGTTTCTCTCTCTTCTTTTTTTACTCTTTTTTTTAAGTCTTTTTTTACCACCATTGATTACTTTCATATCTCTTCTTCTCATATTCAATTATTCAACTTTTTTTTTTCTCAATTTAATTGCTTCGATTTCAGCTCCCTTCGTACTCTCGTACTCATAATTATAAAAATTGAAGTTTTCGAAATTGTAATGTTTTTTTTTTAATTAGAAGCAATAAGGATAATCCTTTTTTATTTCCCCTTCAGATATGCACCATTGTTGTCCACTAATTGTGCTACCAATTCTTATATGTGCAAGTGTACACAATCGTCGCAGCAAGTGATAAATGTTCGAATCCACAAAGACTAAATGCTTAAACACTCAATATTCACTCAAAGAAACGATGCAATAAGCCAAGAGGGGTTTTATTCCACTAATAACGAAAATATATTGAGATAAAAACCTTTTAAAATGATTGTATTAAATCAAACACAGGTAGTAAGTTCGCTAGAGTTACCGCACATTCCACAATCACTCAGTAAGATTTTATGAAAATAAAGGTCCAAGGGGGAGAGGAATTCGACTCTTCTGTGCCACCCTAACTATGCTGCAGCACTAATGGAATGAATGCAGTAGTCAAACAAACAAGATATTCTTCCAAACACCCTAGATTTTCTACTACTAATATTCATAAACAAACATCAATAGCATATATGCACAGTTTTTATGACCAAGCTAGGTGATGATTATCCCTAAGTCACCACACACTAAACTCAAGTAGACTCTAGCCCAAGATGAAGGGTTTCGCTCATTAATACATTTTTCCAAACATTATAAAAGAGGTATTTCAACATGGTGATCAAGAACATTGAAAATAAAGTGGTAAAACAACTTCAACTCAAAGAAAACTATCATTAAAACAAACAGCAAAGTTACAGCCCAGAAACTGAGTTTAGAACATCTCCCCCTTGCTCAAGTTTATTAGCTACATAAAGCCATAAAGAGAGTCAAACAAAATGTAGGAATGAAAATAATACAAAGATGATAAAAGGAAGAGAAGAAGCTGAAGATCAGCTCCCAATAGCCACTGATATGAGCCTTCTTCTTCTCTTGACTTTCTCTAACGGTTTTGAGAGGTTGTCTTGGAGTGAGGGTGGATTCCTTCAAGAGTGAACAAGAGGAATGTTTCTTGGTGTTTGTGTATGCTTGGAGGCTTTTCCTCTTTTTTGAATTTATACCCCCTTTAGATATTATGGCAACAACATGAGCCTTGAGGAACCCAAATCTCACTTTTGGGTAAACCTCCAATTACTATAGTAAATGCCGCTGAGAAGCCCATTTACTGCTGGCTTGCTGATTTTTGTCTTTTGTCTTTATCTCGAATCGATGTTGTAGCATCATCACAGCTGCAGCAAAAAGTGCTCAAAATCAGATCATTTAATTGTTGGCTTTTGGCCTTAATATCAAATTAATTTTAATTAATTAATTAATTAATTAATATTTTGATGATAACAAACTTAATTTTATTTATTGACATTTTTGTATTTTAAAGTATCCACAGTGTAGAGCTCGTTACAACGATTCCAACGCCTATTAGATCATCCAAATCGGAGCTCAAACGGAGAAGTTACGATCGAAACAAATTGGAAGGAAAAATACCCGAGCAGATGACGTGGACAGTTCGTAAGCTGACAAGTGACAAGCTTCTTTTTAAAATATATATATTTAAAAAGAAAAGAAAAAGATTAAAAAAAACTCAAAAGTTACAAACAGTAACTTTGTTTTTTTTTTTAAAAAATTTACATCATGTCATCATTAAGTCAGTGTTAAAAAAAAGTTTTGAAAATTTTACCGGTTTCTCACATACACATATATATATATATATTATTCTTAATTTATTTTTTTCAAAATTATCTCAACCTTTCATTTTTAATAATTAAGATCTAATGGTTCAAAATTAAACTTGATTTTTTTTACCATTTTATTCCCTCTATTTAAACTAAACTTCTGATTCAAAATTATACAACAATTCTCTTATTCTCAATACTTCATAACTTCAAAATTCTCATTTGCTAATCTCTCCAAGTTCTCAATTTTTCTTTCCATCTTATTTGTGAGAGAAATTTATTGTTGTGAGGATTGAAATTTTTGTGAGCTCAAATTTGTATATTTACTCTATTTGAGAGTTCGTAAGTGTGTGTTTCAAAATCTTCAACTCATTGTAACGGTGTGATCCTCACCGTGGAGAGGATTGTCTTTGCTATTGTGAAGAGCAGTGTACCGGTTTGACTCCTACCATGGAAAGAGTCAGAGTTTCAATTTACAACCTAAGAGGTGCTTGGGAAGTGAAGTAAGACAGTTGTGTCGAACCACTATAAAAAGTCCCGGTGTCAAATTTCTCTAACCCTCTCTCTTATTTATTTTTGCAATTAATCTTAGAATTTTATTGTTTGCTTTAAATTTCTCTTGTTTGCCTTAGAATTTATTTTATCTTACTTTGTTAAAATTGTATATCTCAAAAAGTGTATAATTTTTGTTTAAATTTGGCTCATTTATTAAAAAGTTTATATTTTGTTAATTAAACCCTATTCACCCCCCTCTAGGGTTGTCATACCGATCCAACATTAATTGAGTGTTAACATTGAACTCTTAGTAATGTGAGACATTGATTTATCTTTTAATTGAAG